CCCCCAATCACCTCTTATTTACAGATCAGAAACCCTTGTGTAAGCAGCTGATCAATTATGCAAGTAATGCTTCAATGAAGGGAACACTGGTGGCAGAGAGCTGAAGGTGTTGACTGGTGTTCCCAGTGGTCTCTGCATCCTTGCCTTGCGCCCATTGCTTGCTGGGATAGGCTGCTGCTCCCCCACGACCCTGAATAAGAAGCAGCAGCTTGAAAATGGATAAGATAAGATAAGATCACTTTATTGGCCATATACAATTTCTTGCATTAGGAATTTGTCTTTTCGTATACCCCAGCTTGCTCTCCATGAGACACACAGACAGGGAGAGAAGCTTGGGGTCAGAGCACAGGGTCAGCCATTTATACGGCACCCCTGGAGCAGTTGGGGTTAAGGGCCTTGCTCAGGGGCCCAACAGAGTAGGATTCCTCTGCCAGCTGCGGGATTTGAACCGGCAACCTTCCAGCCACAGGAGCAGATCCTTAGCCACAGTACCTCCACTCTGCCCCATCTGATATCTACATGACTTAATTGAACACATTAATTGGAGACAGCTAAATTGATCTAGGGCCCTGAGAAATCAATGGTTTAAAGGCTACCTACGGGTTGAGGTCCAGTATCAGGGTTAAAGGCTCCTGGTACTCTGAGTAATGGGGTGCCTCTACTGTGTGAGGTGTCGTAGTCTGTGAGGGACTGTGTGTGTGAATACTCAGACTGGTGTATAGTTTAATGTAGATGTCTGGAGTGATCTATGTTTCTTTGTGAGTCTTCCTGGACTCCCCTGCCTCCCTTGCCTAATGGGTCAGCAGTAATCTGCTCAGAGGGCACATGGACTGGGGGTGGGAGTCAACTACTGTGAGAAGGTTCTACTGTCAAAGCCACATGCTGCAGGGATTTAGATTAGTTGGGTTTTTATGGTGAAGTACACACGTAGTTTCTTCAGGATAAAATAACTTATTCATATTGTTTCTGCATGAATCTCAGTTTTACACTCCTGAGCCTCCCCCTCCACTCCGGTTTCTAATGCTGCTGTTGTCTGCTCACACCTGTGAGGCCACGGGCTAAGCTCAGAAGAGTCATAGGCACACAGAAAACTGGCTCGGTGTCTGTGTGTGTTTTATTAGCTGTGGGTTCGGGTGTGTGGGAGAGAGAGACAGTGAGTAAAGTGTTTTCGTAAGATTCCCTGGAACGGCTGCTGTGGCACATGTTGTCCGTGTCTGCGAGGCAGGTATTTCCAACTCTGTGGTATTCACCGAGAGCAGATCAGACGCTGGGTGTTCTGCGCAGCCGATGACGACTGAGTAACCAGCAACAATGAGGGTTTATTTTCGCCAGATGTTGTCAGGATCCCAAACTTAGCTTCAGATAGACAGTCCAGCCCGGAAGAGAGGCAGCCTGCGGTTCTCTGACGATGGCTCTCTGCCAGTCAGATTTAAGGATGCTCACTTGCTTTCTCTAGGCAGTGCCATACTCACTACAACTGTGGTCAAGCATTCAGCGTCATCCAAGTGCTGTTAGCATCGAGGAAGGGTTACAAATCAGGATTGAAGCTCATCACACTAATCAGGTTGCTAATAGCTTATTGAAGGATCCAGAGAATCTGCTTCAATCCAAGGTACAGAGAGCTTGTTACAAGCTTCCCCCACTCTTGGTGCAAAGACGTTTTGTCAGGCCTCAGTCCTCAACATTTGTGCTCTTGATTTCCCAGCTCTACAGTGCCTTACAGACAGTGCTTGGGTCTTGGTCCAGGCAGTGGTGGTGAGTGGTGTGTTGTGTAGGATGTAACAGAAAGGCAGTTTGCTTGAGTACCGTAGCAATCCCAATGAAAATTTAACTGCAGTTTTGACTCCATTAGTTTTGGTTAAGTCTTGTACTTTAACAGTTTATTCCCAAACTATTCTGTTCTTCTTATGGATGACTAATGACTGACTAAAGGCAAAGTGCATTTAGAACTGAGAACAAGATGCACTTCTTTACACAAAGAGGAGTGGGTGTCCAGAACAAGCTGTCCACCCATTACTGAAGAAGGTTCCCTTGAATCTTTCAAGAACTGACAGATGAGATCCAGCAATGGGACATCCTTGAGTGTGTGGTTTGTGCTGGGCTCAGATGACCCAACCTTTCTCCCTTCTGCGCATGACAGCTCAACAAAATCTAAGAATACTGCTGCAAATTATAGTCAAATTGTACCTCGACTCCGGTCATTATTATATTTCATTGCTGTAAAGGCCTTTACTGTAATAGCTAATCCATTTTATAACTTAACCTCCTTGTTAAGAATCCATAGAAATACATAGTATTGCACTGGCTAGATGAATTACAATCTAATAGCCTTAAAATGTTAATAAATAAAGGAACAATTCTAATATTTTTTTTTCAGGGAAATTAGAATCCAAAGAATCAAGGAGGCTGCTGGTCTTGGATTCTCCATGAAATCCGCCGGACGTAAACACCAGCCCACACAGACACCCGGGGTCGTTAAAAGACTAGATAAATTGCTTCTAATTGGCCGGAGGCGTGAGCACTTCGGCGAGTAATTACAGAGCAGCAGGGCGTCATGGCTGGAGTCAGATAGCAGCCTGTTGAGCACAATCCCCTCCGGTAATCCCTGGTCCCACAGTTCACTGCTTCATCGCTCAGGAATGACCCTGCCTGTTTGTCCGATCTTAATGCTGGAGCAATCTAAAAGCGCAAAGCCAGCCCTGCCTCGAACTGTGACTCCAAACGCTTCTCCTAACCCCAGGCCTGACCACTGCTTTAATCCTGCCAATCTCCCTCATGGCCCAGCATGCATCTGAGGAATGCAAGAGCTGTGCTGTATCGAATGTCACTGAATCAGCCCACCCCAGCGCTCCAGTTCAGCTCAGATTATTGTCATAGGTACGAGTGCAATGAAATGCTTATTTGCATGTGTGCTCCAATACAAAGACATTAAGGAAACACCCCCAAAACATAAACACAGAACAGCAGCAGCAACAACACGTTAAATAACATACATGCAAGTAAATAACAACAAACATCACTGTGAGCCAGTGGTGGGGGTTGGGCTCAGTAATCTGACAGCTTGTGGGAAGAAACTGGCTCTGAGTCTGGACGTTCGTACTTATATGCTCCTGTAACGCTTACCAGAGGGATGGGGGGAGAAAAATGAGAAACCAGGGTGACTGGTGTCCTTAGCGATACTTCCAGCCTTCCTGAGACAGTGAGTTGTGAAAATGTCCACAACAGAGGGGAGCTGTACCCCAGTGATGGACTGGGCTGACCTGATCACCCCCTGTAACGCCTTCCGGTCAGACGAGCTACTGCCAAACCACACTGTGATCCCACACGCGAGCACACCCTCAACAGCGCACCTGGAAAATGTGTCTGCAGCAGAGGGGAGCACAGGCGGCCACAGGGGGGCGCCAGACCTGACTGTGCCCTGGCCACCTCAAACTCTCCCAGAAAACCGGGGCAGGAGGAGGCTGGGACTGGGGCCCGGTCAGAGAGCCCGCCCCCCGAGACGGCCCGGTCACCTGTTGATTTGTGTTTTTTTGGGGGTTCCCCAGACAGAGCAGTGGGGCAAGGATGACCAGAAGCTTCTCAAGGCCGTTGACCAGGGGGATGTGGGGAAGATCTCGGCCGTCCTGTCCCGCCGGTCCGTACGCCCCACCAAGCTGGACGAGCAGGGCCGATCCTCGTGAGTCTGTTTCGGGGGCTTGATGTGAAAAGGAAGAGGGGTTATCTGAAGGACGTCCAGAGATATGCATCTAGCTTGATCCCTGAGTCTGGAGCACCAGGAAATAAGGCCCTCATTGCTTTTCTTTTTTTAATGGTTTTCCAAGAAATTGTTTTGGTAGGGCATTCATTTATAATAATAATAATTACTTACACTTATATAGCGCTTTTCTGGACACTCCACTCAGTTTAGCTACCAACCTGCAGCTGGTAAAAACCCAAAATGGATCCAACCGCTGTGCAATGGGGGTCTGAGCTGTTTCCTTGACAGCAGGAGCATGGAGTGTGTTTACATGAGGAGATGTGTGTGTGGAAGCAGATCTGCTTGTCTGTGCAGCCTTTATTAAGCTGTTGTTTCCATGCTGTTATAGGGTATACCCAATCTATCTTCGCCAATACGGAGAAATCTCCCTTGTTTGTATTCTGCCTCCTACTCGAGGAGGATGTTAAAATTCCATGTCAAGTGTTTATTTTGTAAGTAAGCAAATTAATACAGTAACTCATTGGTTCATAATTGCATTAGTCAGTAATTGCACTGCTCACTTCATTTACCTCTCGATCAACCTCTTGCTCTTCCAATCTCTCTCTCTCTCTCCCTCTCTCATTCCCTCTCCCTCCTTTATTCGTTCAAACCTGCTTTCCCTCTGACTTACTCATCCTCTCCCCCTGCGTCCCACTCTCTCTCCCCCGTCTCTCTCAGGTTCCACCTGGCAGCATCCCGGGGGATTGTGGAGTGTCTGGACCTGATGCTGGGACAAGGAGTGGACACCCAGGCCAGAGACACAGAGGGTAAAAGCTTTGTGTTTTTTATATTCTTAGTGCATTGCTATCCAATATGACATGGGCTCTGCAACACCATCCTGAACTGCCCAGGCAAAGTGGGGGACTGGTAGACAGTCACCCCTGACACGCCCCCTCTCCGAGCTGTTCATCTTGTGATTGGCTGGGAGCTCCACAGAGCCTTACAGGTGAGTTAGCTCTGATAGGAAGAGCATGCCTTGCTGATGTCACTGCACCTGGCCAATCACAGGAGTGGCTTACCCTGGTTCTTTGGCAGTTTTCTGCTGCTGCTTGGGGAATCCCAGAATACTTCTCAGAAGCTTTGAGTTACCTTTGTGAACTGTAAAACCAAGCAAATTCATTTTTGTTTAACCTCTGCGCGGGTGGACAATTGATCTGGAATCTCTTTCCAGGGCGGGACAGGCAATTTGTTTCGAACGCGTAAGAAGCCGAAACTGGTGTTTTGGCAAACTCCTCCATGTTGCCTGTGCCAGCTCTCATTCAGTTTGCCACTGGACAGAGACAGCTGTGTGTGGCTTTGTCCATCAGGTTGCTGTGTTGCTCTCTCTCTTCCCAGGATGCAGTGCTCTACACTTGGCAGCGAGGTACGGCCAGCCTGAAAGCGTGAAAACTCTGCTACAGGTGAGCACTGCTCTGGTTTACAGAATGAGCAGCATAGATCAGTCCTGTGAGGAGATAATCATTACTGAGGCCCTGGAGCTCACGGGTTAGAAACAGGAAAATGAGGTTTATTTGTCCCATGGAGTAATACCATTATTTCAAATCAGAAACTGCACTAATGTAGCTGGAAAACCAGACCCCTGTACCACAGCGGGACTCCTGTATTTTTACCAGAGACCCTGGGACCTCTGTACTCCTAATAGAGTCTCTGGGTGTCTTGTTCTATGATTTAAGACTCCATATACTATTTTAAAAGCTAGGTCTCTATTCCATTAATACAATTGTGCGGTCCCTGAACTATTTATACAGACTCTGGAACACCTGATGTGTTAGAGTGAGTTCTTAATGAATGGCAATTGAGGAACTGAAGGATACTGTGGGTGTGTGAGGTGTATCTCTGTGTCTTTCAGCACAATGTGCCTGTGGACCTCACTGACAACAGGGGGCGCACTGCCCTGCACCATGCTGGTGAGCTCCTCTTCTTCTGTCATCTCTCCTTTTCCTTCTTCTTTTGCTTTTGCTAAAAGGGAAGGAAAGACATATAGAATCATCAATATTACTCGCTTTCTGTTCCTAAAGAGAACCAGCTGATCCTAAAGCTACTGGCTTTGGACTTTAGGATCAGCTGGTCTGGAGTCTCAGTTCACACACTCTCATGTCTCCCTGTGTTCAGTGTGTGTCTGTGCTCGTGTCTCTGTGTGTTCAGTGTGTGTCTGCGCTCGTGTCTCCGTGCGTTCAGTGTGTGTCTGTGCTCGTGTCTCT